TATATATATATATATATATATATGACTAATGCAATATTTAACTCTTGGTTTGTGGGTGTTGTTAACAAATGTATACATATTTCAATCCATGTTTCAGAAATAAGCAACTTTGTTTTTAAATGGAATGCAAGAGTCAACAAAACAATCAGTGATACTCATGGTAGAAAAATATCAATTTTGATACTTTCAATAATGCTTTGAATTTCTTCTCTATAATTCAGGTATATTTTAATGTTTTGCGTCTTTTTTGGTGACTTTCGTTTTTTTGTGTTTTTGATACCTATCTCTCATTTCAACTGTTTTTAAATCATTTGATGTATTATCTACAGTAAGCTATCGTTTCACGTGTTTTTCCTGTTTCTTTCGGATCAATATTTGTCTAATCCATTTGCAACAACATTATTTGTGATGGTGTTTACACAACTATTAAAAACACCCTGAAGAGGATTATACCAATACATTTCATAAAACACAAAGTATAGCATTATTAACACTACTTTTACATATATCACGACTTATAAGATACAGAATTATAGTTCTCTGTAGAAATGTGAGCCTTTTCTACATTATTCTTCTTAGCTAACTCTAGTTTTGAATGCTTTTTATAACATTCGACGTATACTCTCTTGTTAAAAATTATTGGTGTTTTTTGACAGATTTATGTATCGTTTTTTTTTTCGGTATATCTGGCAAATTTTCTATCCATAAGTGTCGATTTCATTATATCTATAGCTAACCAGAACCTTTATATAGTGCATATATAATTTATATAATTTTTAAAGAACTACAGAGACTAGTAAAGCAATAATGCATACAGAATTATTAAACTGACTTCACACCATACAATGTAATTTCCATTCAGACCTTATACACCTATACATCATCATTTTCCATATATATATATACTTACTCCAACTCTATTTAGCTCAACAATGGCTAAGGTCATATTAATATCCTATTTCTTGCAGGAAAAAAACAAACAAACTTTATACTTTGAAAACAGTTCACAACAATGAAAAGTGAGTGCATGTATATAAAATATACTAAAAATATTAAATTTAGACTAATTTTTTTGGCTAACAATAAAGCTAGATTTGACCAGTATTCTATGAGTTATAAAATACTGAGAAGGTGCTTGTTTGTCAGAAATCTCAAGTTTTGTTACACCAATCGCTTTTCTTGGCCAGTAAGTTTAAAATATTTTACAAAAAGGTAAGAAATAGTTGAAATATACTTGACTCTTATGACAGACACAGAAAACATTTACTAAGAATAAGCTTCCAACTTTTACATAATTTTATAAGTTAATAAACAGTTAACGTTACACCTAAATAAACTCACAATACTTCTAAATGTACATTAAATCTTACAAGTTCTTGTAGTATAAGGTATAGTCAAGGTTTATAAAGGAAAACAACTTATAAGGCAAAATTGTTAAATTAGATCAAAGAATGTACAAGGCATGGCTTAAAAATAAATATGAAAAAGTAGAAAGAGCTAAACCAAAATTATCTTGGTGTCAAATACAATAATAAAGTATTCCTTTACTTTGATGCAAGAAATTGTGAAGTGATTGAGAAGTGCAATATTTTCTATGCAGAGATAATAGTTAACATTCAAGTTGATGTACTAATGGAGAAATGTATTATAAACCTCTATCACTTGAAACATGTGTACTACTTCCAAAATGCATGTGGAAAAATACCCTAACATTTAAGGTAGAACACATGCACACACACACAAACATCAAAGTCCAAGGAACAAAAGTAAAAACTAACTTGTAAAAAGAGACCTAACGTTTTAGCTTTTCTTTTTCCAGGATCACACATCTCAGAAAAGATGAAAGTTACACAAAAAAAAGTTTATGACAGCAGTGTGTTTTACTTATATAAAAGTTTGTTTTTTTATAAAAAAATTCATGTTGTCCAAAAAAGCCACTACTTTTCATAAATTCATAATTTTTCTTACACAAATAAGGTCACATTTATACTTAGTTGAAATTCATTTAAATTTTTTTTTTAAATTATATTTGGAAAAAAAGAAATGGTAGTACAGTACTGTACAGTAATTGGTGAACACCATGCCTGGTAAAGTAGTCCGATAATGTTTTAACACTAGTAATGAAACAAGATGAAATTGTTTACAAAATATTGGTAGTAATTGCTAAACACTACATCTGCAAACGTTGGAATGCTCTGGTAACAAAACAAGGTAGTAATTGGTGAATTATCTCTAATAATGAAACGACACAGTGCATATACTGTACATATCATTTTACTATGTTACTGTATTAGTTAGCAGTAGTAATACTTGTACAGTAGCCTTTAAAACTTCACTTTTAAATTTGTTTTTCAGGTATAGTTTATATGCTCATATAGTTATGGTTGCATGCCCTCCTACCAACTCTCTGTACCCTTCTTGGGTGTGTGCACCCCACAGTTTACACTTTACACTCCATGGGCTTAGACTACCAACAGCAAAAAACAAATGCAGTGGAATATATAACCAGTAATACAAGTTTTTTTAACAATATAAAAAAAAAAGTAATCAAGCTAATCCCTTGTTGAGATCAATACTATTTTTGGTACTAATATCTGTTAGCTGAATGTTTAACGAGAAAATAAATTTATGCACATATATCTCTCACACACATTATCTTCAAGTTACATATACTTTTTATAAAGAAGCAATATAGTGCAAAAGAATAACATTTTGAACTTACAACATCAAAATCTTATTACATGGACACGTAATATGCGAATAAAGCTTTAAACTACTCTCATATTTCTCAGGCAATAAGAGGTTTTTAATTAATCAATGCTTTTAAATCAGTATCTGTGACTTGTGACTACCAAATTAATTAAGAAAATAATAATTTCACAACTACAAGATAAAAACCATTAATTTCCTATTTCAAGGTTGTATGTCCTTACAAGTGATGAAAATAAATCCCAATTATCTCTGATTTTATATAACAAGTGTATTCATACAATTTTAGAACAGATTGTAGTAATATTACAGAGCATTTATGCCTAACTCTTAAACTTTACCAACTATTATACTATTGGACACCAAAATGAAATACTTGTTATTCTTACTTGTTGAAGTATCTTTACATTGTTCATGTGGAAAAGACAAATGATGACTTGTACAAAATATTGCTCTTAGATAGTATTCCCACTCAAGCAAGTGCTATAGTATGTATGTTAGAGCTCGGTAATTAACTTGATTACTTACGAGCATCCATTGCATCAATTTATATCAGGTAAAATCAATGATTAATCAAAATTATGATTCAATTAATTAATGTCATGAAAATAATTACCTAACCTAAATTAGTGCTTCAGATTATTACGACCATCCAAGTATTGAAATATAACCATGATTAATTCAAATTTGTTCAATTTAATAGATAAATATTATGACTCATGAAAATAAGTGTCGAGTTGGCACCCCTGTTGACTCAAAATAAAAATGTTTTGGCTCATTTTGCACAAAAATATTGTTGTGTACAAAATAATGACCAATCTTATACCCATGATAAACCTATTGTCCAATACTTTTAGCAAGTGAAGTATTATGTGCTGTTAAGTTTACCGTTCCTTTGCACAGTGAGGATGCAGCTAAAGTATACACATGCTTGATCATTTCCATATAATTGTGTTCATATAAAATCGTAATATAGATCTCCAAAACTAAATGTTTAGCTGTACCTAATAGTAATCTCACCATTCAGTTATATTTGGTTGTTTTTTATAATCAATGTCACAAAGAAATGTTTATTCTCATTAACAAAAATTCAGTATTGACAGTTTGTAGGGAGAAACCCAGGGAACACATTAAAGAATGGTATTAATCATATTTTCAAATTATTACAGGTTTTGTGCTACATTGCACATATGATACACTTTATGTATAACTTAGGATGAAAAAAAAGTACCTTAATCCTTTATTGTTGTACCTTATGATTTCTGCGAGATTAAATGAAGGGTAGTTAAAACGTTTCTTTAAAAACACACAAAATGAGCTAAAAATAGAAAGATTAATCTCATATTAGAATAACAGATTACTTGAATGTAATTGGTTGAGCCTGACAACTGATTAGCAAATTCCATTAATCACTCAGCTATAATGTATGCATTCAAAAAGAATAAGCAATGATACTGAAGTCAGTTTTTGTAGAATAAAACATACAAGTTCAACCATGATATAATCCTGTTGATTCAAGGTATGTCTCATAGACCCATGATCATTTTATACCCTTTTTCTAACAGGCTTTTATTTCCAAAAAATGAAGTTGTAGTCCAAATTATTTTTTAGAAACACGAAATTACTAACATCACAATAGTATTTACAGACTGATTTAAAATAAAAATAGATAAAAATTACTTCAAAAGAAATAATACTAACATCTATTTCTGAAAACGTTTTTGGTGTTCAAAATGTAACTAAAATCTAATTCAGTTAAGTTATTATTCTTATCATTTAATATATGATTTAAGATAACCCAAAAATTGCTTTTAATAACTTATGCTGCTATTATTAGTCCTTTTTATTTTTCCCATTTCTTTTTTAATATAAAATCAAACAATATATGTCTAAATTCACATAATCACACATGTAGACCAGACCTTTTATTTATTTATGTATGTTGATATATAAGAAAATTTCAAGAGCATATTTGACTCAAGTTTAGAAACACTGAAACATATTGAATATTTGTCTTGTATGAGAACACTTCAAGTAATAACTGGGTCTCTACCATACCAAGTGCTCATTTACATTATAAACACACGAAATATAAACCACACACTAATACAGGAATATCATAAAATGTTCTCAACAAATTAAGTACTAAGAATAATTTAAATATACTTCATTACTAAGACATGAAGAATTATAGTTTTTAACCTTATATAACCTGTCATTTGTTAAAATACCTTTTTGTAAATGTAGGTATTGTTTATCATAAAAAGTCTGGACTATTGTAAATAGGAACCAGTTTTTAAACCTGTGAGAACCTTGTGTAATATAATGTATTTCTAGCTATTTTGTTGCTCATTTTACTAGCCAGAAAAAATGTGGACATAAATTCAACTGCTACAAAGTTAATTCAATGAAAGTATATTTAAAAAAAACAAGTGAACTTTGGCTAGGTTTCCACATGAGTATATATGACCAAACAATTTTTCAAGGTATCAATGAGCATACACGCTGTAGTTTTAAAAACAACTTTCTCTGACAAAGTAAGTTTCGAAGTATGGTTTATCATAAGCTACAACTTGGGAAATGGCTTAACTAAGAATAATTTTTCACCCTCTGGACTGGTGTAAATTGGCACTCGTTTGTAGTGTTCAACAAGCTCATCTAGATCATTAAACCTACGCTGACCAATGCAGTAGATCCCATTTTCTACATGGACTCGAAAGTGCTTATTTCTTATAGGAGCCTTAAGTGACACAGAAAAATCTCCCACCTAATAAAGAAGAAAATAGAGAAACATGTATAAATAGAAGCAATTACATTTTTTACAATTAAAATCAGTTAACATAAAACAACATGAAAAAAATCTACATCTTACATCTATTTGTCACTCCTTTTTTTTCTCTCATAAAGTTTTACTTAGTGGAAATCCACCCCAAAAAAATACAAAGTTATAAACAAATATATTTTCATAAACATAACAATAATTAATAAGTTAAATAATGAATGGAAAACCTTAAGAAACTTAGTAAATTGAGGGGCCTTCCCAAAACTTTGGAAAACTGTTCTAGACAGATTAATGCATACCCACAACAGATAGGAAAACGTCCTTGGATGTACAGTATATGGGCTCAATCTTCTTACCTCAAACAATCTAACAGACATACACAGATAAGTAAGTGTACTAGGAAGGTTAGCTGAGATCATATGTGGTTTGCAGAATGATTGAGATGAGGTGTTGGTATTACTAATGGTATAATTATTTGGAATATTATTCTTGTCTTTATTATGTGTATTATTATTATTATTATTTTCACAACATTTCGACCAGTGATTTCTCCAGCTGTCGTCAGGTGTTATATCAGATATTTTGTATGTGTCACAACCAGAAAAGCTTTTTGTGGAATTACCAGGGTTCGAACCACTGAACCTGTGATCCCAAATACGGGACTCTAACCACTTGGATATACAGTTGGTTCTAGTTTTAGCTTAAAACAATACATACAATTTTATTCAGAATTTCTATGATTTTTTATGTTCTGGGAAAACATTAAGTATAATTCTTCAAATCTTAAAATTTTAACTTTTTGCACTGTTGATCAGAAAGTTTCATGTTATATATCCAGAGCTATTACTATCTTTATTTTGCCAATTACAACAGTTCACTTACTTTCAACTACAAAACTATAAATCATAAAAACATGGCAACAAATAACAAAGATTTATCAATGATTTTGGACCACACCATTCAAAATGGTGTCACCTTTACCTTTGTCAAGCTGAGTAACAATATTTTGCTAATAATACTCTTCATTGAGATAATTTATATTTAATGAATATAGCTTATTTCAAATATATTATATGCTAATTTATTTATGCATGTTGTTTAAATATAATAAATAATAAATATTTACAGTTGGTTAGATTAAGCAACAGTACGGGCATGTCAACATTCAAAATTTTCAAGGTTTAGATGATGTACTTCATTTTTTTTTTCTTGAACTAGAGGGATATAATCATGTGCTTGTGAAATAAAGGTCTATAAATACAAATTCTTGATTTTGTGATTTCACTTGGTTTAAAACATGGAAAAAGTTAAGAAAACATTATTGCAAAAGTTGTTGAATTTTCATTACTTCCTTATTTGAAATGAATATCAGAGCATCTAAATTTCAAAATTTGTAAGGAGTACATCCCCCCAGACCTTCCTACCAGGTTCATGCCTTGGGACATTATTTCTTTGAATAATTTGGACAGGCAGATTTAAATTTTGGCTAATATCCTGATAATATGTCTATTATTTGTTTTAAACATATGCAACTATCATAAGAACAACAATTTACAATAAATTCAGTCAACAAACTGTTCTTCATTTAACCAGTTTTGTAGCAACACTGGCTACTCTCCAATATAATGACTATAAAACCAGAAAATTAATATGAATTATACAAATTTTATTTTTCAGTTAAATTCTTATAATTTTATACTTTTCAAATTTTTAAGATTTTTTTGAAAACCTCAAGTCACAAAATTTTATTACTAACATTTCAAATCAACACCTAATTAAAAAGTTTTTAAATTAACATCAAAATTAAAATATTTTTAAGGTTAACGATAAAAGTACTATAATAGATCACCCCAATCCTACAGACATTTTTGAAAAATACTATATTTACTTTGTCCTGAATAACCTTAAGGTTTTTTTATTAGTTATCCACAGTATACTTATTTTAACTGACAACTAACCAATTATATTGGTTAACCAAGCTAATCAGTCAGCTTTGCTGGACATAAAGTTAGTGAATTTTCACATCAGTCCATATTTTCCTGAAGAACATTTGCACATGCCTTAGTATTACAGAATGTAAGAACACTCTAAAACATATAAAATCCAAAGAGGAAGAAGAAATTGACATTTTCTTAACAGCAATTTACTTCAATCATTCTAACCAATCAAATGTCCTTTTCCTGGGAGCCCATGAGACTTCAATTAAGAATCAGAAAAAGAGATAAAGGACACAGTGGACAAACATGAACACCACAAGTCAAACTTAGGACCAAAAGGTTGACATAATATGCAAAATATTACAGTGAGGGAAGGGCTATATATAAATATATACTCTAGCTTTGCACCAAAGCCTTAACTATACACCACCAGTTGTGAATTTGACAGGACAAGTCAAGTACAGAGTAACAACAGGTTAAATCAATAGATGCTGGAAAAATAGAGTAAAAAGTAAGTAAAATTATGTGGGTAATACAGTGTCTTCTAAAAATCAGTCAAAGCAAAATGGTGCAAGAGTAGCCAAGTTTGGATTCCATCTCCTTTTTAACTAGAATTATAAGTTATTTAAATGTTGCATTGTTTAGAAGCCAATGTAATAATCTATTTTTGGAATATTTCATTTGGATTATCTTTAATGCTTTATAAATTATAATTCAGTGTCACTTCACAAAGAAGTCTTGCAGTGATGCTTCCACTCATACTTTAACTGGTTTTAAGATACTACAAAGTTAAGACATTTAAAAGTAAGATCATAATACTCAACTTTTACTTTTTCATATACAAACAAAATAAAAAGCTTTTATGTTACTAACATTTGTCTCACTGTCACGAATGAGAAAGTCTCCATCTTGTGCAGTATTATTGAGCATCTGGTCACACTGGCTCCTGGAGATGCCACCAAAGTACCAAGGTCTACCAAGAAGGTCTTGTCGCATTACTGGAGGTGGCAATGGCCCTCGATTTTTGGCTTGCACCATGGGTGAGGCTTCACAGGACATTACACCCATATTCATCATCTCTGTCTGTAACTGACTAACATCTGTAGAAGCACCTTCCATGGCTCCACACATCCATCCCGCAGATGAAGAAGAACCTATAGAGTCCAATGTTCCATCCTCAACTGGAGGTGGCAAAATTACTTCAACATAGGTTTTAGGCACCAGTCCAATCTCACCATTCTGATTACGAACTTTCCACCAGCCGGGATCATTGACAGGTTTTTCAATAACTTCAAGATTCTCATCTTTCTGAAAGGAAAGTTCTTCCTTATTTTGGGCAGTGTATGCAAAAAGAGCTGTCACAATGTCTAGACACTCACCTTGTTTTAACAGATTGGCACCATTTCCTAACTGAACTGGAGGACAGTTGTTAACACCATTTTGGCCATTAATTTCTTGAAATACATAATTGGAAGGAAACCATCCAATGGCCCCATTAAATTCTCCTTTCCACCATCCATCGCTAGACTTTTCAAGAACCAAAATACGAGCTCCCTTCACCAAACAGATTTCATCTGATTGTTGGGCAGTGTAATTATATTTAGCTACTGCTGTTATATGTGTAGTGACTTTAGTCCTGGATGGAAGATCATGAACAGAACTAGCATTTAAGTCAGTGATAGCAACTGGAGACCCCGTCGGAGAGGCTTTTGACTCGCTTCTTCTTCGAACTTTCTTTCGAATGCTGTCAAATATGGAAGGTTTTTCTCTTTTCACATAATTGGAAGGGACAAAACCAAACTGATTTTTGGAATTACAAACTTTCCACCAATGCTTACTGTCATCCAAAAGAAGCAGACGCTCACCTTTCCTTATATCCAGCTCTTGGCTACCTTGAGCAGCGTAATCATACTTAGCAATGACATACACTTCTTCAGTGGCCTTTCCTTGAAGTATAAGACAATTGGATTAATACAGAAAATGTACATATGATTTTGTTACTACATTAATCAGATACTACCAAACATATTTACTGTATCCTTGCATGAAACCTGCAAAACAAACATGCCTAACAACAAATTATGCCAAGTATTTTTCATAGCATATCATCTTTGGGTACTGTATTTTTGTGGCTTGAAACTATTTTCTTCTTTATTGCCTTCTTCAAATCGATTTACAATGCAAAAAAATCAGACGAGTTTTTCATAGTTATAAACATATGCATATATACCTACAAATCCATGTCTATATTCACACTGAAAAAGGCATAAACATATATAAATTACATTTATTAAAAGTTTTATAAAACAATATTTGAGAAAACTGCATACATAACTACATCTACAAGTATGTATTAATACACCAGAAAAAAGCTAGCTTAAATACATGACTGCATCAGTCAGTAGTAACAATAATTACTTTGTGCAGTGCCTCAGTTTTGCCAATTCAGCATCCAACTGTTAATTCCTATGAAACACAACTTGAATGTGAAAGACATCAAAATATTAAATCAGTTCCAAAACATTTCTGCTCAAGACATGAATGCCTCAAGCAAAACTGACTAATACATGTTCCATTCTTAATATACCAAGAAAGATTAGATGGTTGCAAAGAAAAAAATCTCACCAAAACACTTAAAATCCCCATAAAAAGCTTACATCATTCTCCAATACCTATGAAAGGCAACAAGAAAAAATAATGCTTTTGATACTCATTTCACCATTCCTTGCTAAACAGATAAAATGTTAAACAACTTGCATTCTCTACTACAATTACTACAGTACAGGAGAAATGTGCCTGCTCATTCTCGCCAAGTCAATAAAAACTGTGAAATGGTATATTTCAGATAATTTGTTAGCCTATCAGATGTAATTTGCAAGACCTTTCAGTTTCAGTCTAATTGTTAAATAACATTTCTGTAAATTCACCAACAAAAAGACCAAGGCTATAATACTAACAATAAAAATTATACTCTATCTTTTTTTTTATGTGTATTATTAGCCACTTAATACTACACGTACTGTGCTTCTGGTAACAATGTTATTACAATTTTATGTTTTTACATTAGCTAAGAGCAGCAAATTAGAATCTCTTAGTCTTATAAGTTATAGTATTTCCCATCAATAAAACAATCTAGCTCTAAATCATACAAATAATATGAAATATCTGTAGATAGTGTTAACTTTATGACACCATTGTTCATTATTAAATGTTTTGCGAGTGAAAATCAGTGACTCACTCTGTAGTAAGCACAAACCAGTTCTACTACTGAGTACTAGGTCTATCACTGTTAATTCACTTAAATAAAAAGTTAGGCTTAAAACAGTATGTAGGCTGTAGCATAGTGATAACTATGCTCAAAATGTATATGGTAACAGTACCATTGTTACAATGAGTAATATGAATCACAATAACGAAATTTAACACGTTGAGCTTAATTTTCATTTTGAAAGTCTGACTTTTATTAATTTGAAAAACATTATCACTTTTACTTTTTAATTTTAGTTTTAAATTTAACTTTTTATGAGTTTAACAATGGAACACAATAACTTTTCATTTACCTTCCTTACCTAATTTTGGATTTGACATTATTTGGAATAAATATTTGTTTGGTAATGCCTACGATATAGTATATGACAAAATATATTTTCTTTCACTTAAAAGTTAAATAATAAAAATGTTATACCCTAGAATTAAGCCTACATGATTTAACAATTACTCGTTTCTTTCACATATCGTAAGACAACGTTATGAACGAGAACCGAGTTCGTTACGGGGTGACACTTCACAGTTGCCGAAAATTTAAAAATAATAATAATAACAGTCTAAGGAGCTTCAGTACTTTTCAACAATTTTAATAAAATTAGGTTTATATCTTTTGAGTATAGCTTAAACCTAAAAAAGAAGTACAATTAATATTTTATTCCAAGTATCAAAACAATTTTCTTATAGAATTACCTTTATTTAAATTATTGTAATTTTGTGAGTTTTAATCATCCTGTGATATAATAAAAAAATTTTTGGCATCAAAGCAAATATTATGAGTCATTTCACTTTTTTTTTTTTTGCACATTCACAGAAAACGGAAGAAGCAATACGTTTTCTATAACCAAACATATGCTGCCCAAGGATAATAATACATTTATCTTATAAGTTGTATATTTTCACATATTATCATGATTACAATATTATTTTTATCTCCTTCACCAGTAGCTCAGCTGCAAGTCTGCAGGCTTACGATGCTAAAATTCGGATATCTATATCTGTGGGCAGAACACAAATAGCCCATTGTGTAGCTTTCCACTTAACAACAAACAAATCAAATTCTTTTTTGACTTAATTTTTTACCATCGGAAGGTGACTCAGTAGAAAGTTAAGGAGCTTATAACGCTAAAGTTCGGGGTTCGTTTCGGAGATGGATACAGCACAAACAGCCCATTGTGCAGTTTGGTGCTCTGCAACGAACATACAATTTACTTAATTTTGTATATTGCTATTCTTCATTACACTGTTATATTCGTACGTTGAATTTTTCTGTCTTCATCCAAACGACATTGAAATTAAAACCAAAATAATCTTTTTTGACATCATTTTATTAGTTGAATTTATGTTTACTAATTAAATTATTCAAACAAGAAAATAATTTGATCAACATTTGTGCTTATTTCGCACTTGGAAAATAAGGAGTAAAATAAAATAAAAGCTAACAAAATCCCTGTAATTTTTTTGCAAGGTTTTCATCACGTAAAACAAAATTACAATGTAAACATCTTTAATGGAGTATATCATTGTGCGAATTTCAATATGCATTAATAAATGTTCCCTCGCTCCTACAGATTAATAAAACTGGAGTACATTATAACGTTTATGAGTTTTGGCATAAGAATAGTGTTAAATGTTTTAATGATTTATTCGTCAGATACTCGTATTATTAATAAATAATATCCTGTCAAGAAGATACTTGCATTCTCTTTGCTTTTATCAGACGGATTAGATAATTTGTTATTTGATGAGTATTCTAGTTAGAGAAATTTTCTTTAGAGAACCATAACAAAAAACAGAGTATGTAACTGTATTTTATAATATTAAAGTTGCAAATTCTACAAACTAAATTTTAGCATTAAAGAGCTTTGGTAAGAGTCAATTAGAAATTTCTCACTTGTCTATTATAAGTAGTTTAAAACTTCAGGTTATTCCAACATTACTCCCACACCCACCACCCACCCTCCTGGCGACTCAGCAGTAAGTCTGGGAGCTTAAAACTTAAAACCAAGTTTACATATTATTAAAAATGTGGCTTTTGCTTTTCTAAGTTATAAGACAAATAGACAATATTAAATAACCTAATATATAGCAAAGATCGCTAGTATGGGTATTAAAAACAGAAACAAGTAACAACATAGGTCATAATCATACCCATATCAGCCGTCTCTACAATATATATATATATTTACTTTTTGGTGTTTATATCAAAACCAATTTATAATTTTCAGGGACAGGTGTTGGAATGTTACTGATTGTGCGATAACTCAGAAATTTGAAGATATGGGGCTTACTTAAATCATTAATGAACTGTTTAAAGATCTATTTATTATTACCGATACACAGTGTTTGTTTGATTTGTTGGTTTTAGAGTAAAATCTTGGACGCTTTTGCTATTAGCGTTGGAAGTCCATAAACTTACCGCTGTCCCATCGGGGGACGATAAACGGTGTTTGAAATATTTTGGATTTGGGAATGAATTCTAATAGAGACTTTCAAAGCAAGAAAAATAAAACTAGAACATGCTTACTTGTTGTTATACAAAGTGATTTAGCTGAAACATAAAATAAAATAGAACTTAACTGTTATAACCAGTTATATATAATTATAGCAGTAATGTTGGTTTCATAATAAGCTACTGCTTTATAAACTCTTGGTAAAGGTGATATTTTGATACACTTATAAAAACCTTAATCTCTTTTGATGAAGATTTACACAATATTTCTCGAGCCAGGGTTCTTCCAATCAATTCTATGAGCACAGCGTCCACTAATCAATTCATCTTACTAATATTCACTTAATGGCAGGTAAAACAAGAAAAACTATAAAATATCATAAAACTTTTAAGTTCGTAAGAAGAGGAAACATTAATAGTATGACATTAATTATTAATGCTAAATGCTTAGCATGTTTCTGTTCAGTTTGATATTTCGGAATGAATATATTCCATCATCAGCATAAAGGTAAAATAGTATGAGTATAGTTGATGTATCAAAAAGTAATATTCCTACAATAACGCTAATAGGTATGTAATATGTTTTAACATCTATAACTTAATATTCAAGACACTTATGCTTGGAAAGACTAATCTCCTTTATTGTATATATAATTCCAACATATCTGTCTTGCAATTGTATTAATACTAGCTGAGGCTACCCGTTAAGAAAGTAAAAACTGTATAAATGACGATGTTAAATAATGTTCTCCTTCCTTCTTTCTTTTGTTATTAAATCCCTAATGACCTCATTAGATGTCAACTGCATACCCTACTTTGTGGAAGGTAATAATTGATTCATTTAACTGATTAAGTACTTGTATCTTTAAAGTCAAAGCCAAAATTCTATAAAAAAAAAAGTGGAAATGTATCATATTTCAGGGTGTATTTTATCCCACTTTTCGTCCTCAATAGCTCATCGGTAAGTCTGAGGACTCACGCTGCTAAAAACCGGTTTCGATACTCGTGGTGAGTACATCACAGATAGCCCATTGTGTAGCTTTGTGTTTAACAACGAATAAACAAACAACAATCCTAAAACAAAATAGCCCATGTACACTGTTGAACAGTTTCCAGTTGCCATATAAAAATCATGGTAATCAAGCCTGCCAACTCTGGGTGATGCATGCCAACACACATATAATGGATCATCTTTAGAGTAAAATGGATGGAGGATGGGTGACTATATAATTGAATAATATAGGTTTATTATCAACTGTTGATAAGGGGTAACTACCATTCTCAAGACTAGCGTCCAACAGTGGACGTAGAAATGGAATCGATTTGATTTGCTAAATGGTTTACTGTTACTAGTAAACTAGTTTTCACATGAGATTGAATGGATACCTGGAAATACCGAATATTCCCAACGTCTTTTTCCGAGCTATAACTATAGTTATTCTCCTCCAGAATTGTACCTTTTGTAGATTTTACGTCTGGAACTATTTTAACTTGTTTATTTTGCTTCTTGTTAAGGATCGATCTGTTCTATTTATTTAGAAGATATTTAACGGAGATTTAGTTGAAATTATGTTATTGTGCTATCTAGCTGAAAGGGGTTCTTTTTTAATATAAATAATTTCCTGAGTCAGTAGTTCCATATCGGAATGGCCAGATGTCAGAATTTTGAAATTGTCGTTAGGGAAAAGATAGTTTTTGTTTTAGCTTTGCAAAAGCACAGGGATCAGGTATTTTTCCAGTTATGTTCATGAATTCTGACGTTGAAATGTTATTTAGTCAAAAACTGATATCTTGGCAGGGTAAATGCTTCGATCTTTGGCCTTTAAAGTAGAAGAAATTACCAAGTCGAAAAAATGACTCCAAAATAGATTTCTATTAGACCTCAGGATAGAAGGATTTGAGAACATTGGTGATTTAAAAATATATATAAAAGTAAAGAAATATGAGGCATTTTGTAAAAGTGATGATGAAAGAACGCTGTTCACGTTTATTTTAAGAACTTTATAAATGCCTTTGTGCAATAGATTGCTAAAAAGCATTTTTTATTTTGCAGAAAGTTAATTTGAGGTTAAGCATGATAGCTAGAACAGGTTTTATCATGCTGTTTGTCATATTATTGGTGTTCCCAATTCTTATCAAATTGAAACTTTAATTAGTTTTCGAATTTTTTATTTCACTCGGATTACTTTTGTATTATGGTATCATTAATACAAAACTTATAATATATTTCACATTCGACTATATTAATATTTTTGCTTCATCTCATTTTCTTTATTTTATATCAATTTAAGAAAGACTCACCTTTTCTTTTTATTAATGTAAGTAAAATAACGACACATGTTTCCACAATGAATCTTTACTGGCTCAATATTTCGCTATTATAACCTACTTCTACCAGTCGTAGATCAAGTGGAGGGGCTGAAGCCTTAATCCCTGCCCTTGTTTCTCCGCTTATGCAGAAATATTGCAATTTAACTAATATTTATTTACCAGTTCTCTTTTTTATCTGACATGTTTTCACTGACCTGTAGATTAGCAACCAGTGCACAACAATTTTCAACTGAATATTATATTTTTAATTTATTTCATAGAAAAGATTTATACTGTTGTTCTCTAACTAACATAGTTTGAACCATGATTATCTCTGGTTTTTTTCTATCTTTTTCTAAGTTAATAATGTATTTTTCTAACAGTTTAACACTCCCATTATTTCACTGTCTTAGACTTAAAGCCAACGCTAGTAAGAATCATAAGTAAGTCTAAATCCTTAACTATTAGAAATATAGAGCAATATTTACATTATAAATAAAATTATGAATAAAATATGAACTGAAAATAAGTCAAATCTGAAGATTTGAGTTTGCAATAGAAATAATTTTAATTCAGAAGATCAAATAATAAATGTTCGTAATATCAATAACATCGGATGACTT